TTGCGTTACTGAATATCGACAGATAATTGAGAGAATCGATTAGTATTGCTTTAAAATCTTGGATACAGACAGAATAGCTAATTGCGATTTTTAGTTAGAAAAATTTTGACCGTTTCTTTTGTACTTAAGCAACTTGACATTTCGGTTAGTGTCTCTTGAGTGAAAATTATCTTTGCGTTACCGAATATCGACAGAACTAATTGAGAGAATCGATTAGTTCTGTTTGATTGCTTTAAAGTCTTGGATATAGACGGAATAGCTAATTGCGATTTTTAGTTACGCGGGGTCAAATTCGTAAAAGATTAGAGTTGCGAACAATCCAAATAATTCGATGACTAATTGTGGGCCCCAAAATGGGTTGCCGTCTTTTTTTTCCCAGAGTACTTCGCGACAAAGGCGCATTCAGCAGATACCAACAATTACACGGAAAATTCCCTGAACATCTCAAGACATGAACCTCCGCCCTTCCCCCCGTTGCGTCTCCGTTCGTCAAAAGCACTAGACTCGCGCAATCTTTCGCTCGGTCTCGCAAAGTTAACAAGGGCCTACGCGGTTAAATGCGCTCGCTCTTCCCTCGCAACGGCGTTGAAGTACCGCGAGCGCAACGGTTACCGAGTCATCCGAGTAAATCGCGTAAAGGAGGAGGGAAGGGTGAAAAAAACGTGGGGGATATTTGCGGCGAAGAGACAGGAAATCGCCCATCGTGATTATCATTTCTACGATTTATCCTCCTCGCGCGGATAAAGCTCCGAAAAGCATTCACGCGCGCGTTTACACGCGCCGTCCACCTCCGGTCGAGGCGAGGCGGGGCGAGGCGAGGGCAGAAACGACCGAAGCCGTCTCGAGAGAGATTCAAAAGGTGCTCGACGGGGCCCAGGCGTGGGCTACCCGTGATCATCATGACAAAAGCTCGGGGCAAACATCCGTTCAATTTATTAGCTTATAGGCAACGCCGTCTTCTCGCACTACCTACTATACACCACCTACGACACCGGCCACGAACCGCCTATAATACCCGCAACATTATGGGCATGCTCCCAAGCTAGCGCGGGGTCCCCTCCCCCCCTCTTTCTCCCTTCTTGTCACCCGGTGGCCCGCTGCACCCTCCCGAGGCGAGCGACGCCGTCCTCCCCATAGGGTCCCAGTTTTTACGGTCCCGAGAGACCCCGGGACATTTTCCGGATCCCGAGAGTGCACGAGAGCGAGGATTAACTTTCTGACAATGTTTAGTGATAAGTTTGCGATAAATAGGGTAGCGTTGAAGAAAGGAGAGAACGATCTCTGTTTTTTTTGTTTGTTTTTTTTTATGAACGTGTAGACATTTAAGCCAACGGCACACGATTCTTCCTACTGCATTGCTTACGAGAGCCAATCAGGATTTGGCCTTAAGTCACCTGATCTAAAACTCCGCATTCTTATTGGTTCTCGTAAGCAATCCAGTAGGAAAAATAGTATCATGCGCCGGTGGCTTTAGTTTTCGAATTAGAGGCGATTGAAAACGAGACGAGTACCGGCGATTATTACAATTATTAATTGTTTGCGCGATTGTCGAAGTATGTTCGACCGAAAATTTCTGTTAGCTATATCAGGAATCTGCGGTCGATTCGATACACGGAGAGAATTTTCTCTTAAAATTTATCCCAAAAATCATGTAATCGTGGAACAACGTAGCATTTCGAAGAATTTTATGAGAGTTTTTTGAAGTTTTACGATACCTTTTACTAGTAAGTATACTCAGCACACATTTTATTAGTATAATTGCTAGTAAAAGGTATGGTAAAAGTTAAAAAAAACTCTCATAAAAAATTTTATTAGTAAAATGTATGGTAAAATTTCAAAAAACTCTCATAAAGTTCTTTGAAATGCCACGTTGTCCCACAATTACACGATTTTCAAGGTAAATTTTCAAAGGCAATTCTCTCCATGTAGTCTTTATATGATCTCGTGGACCAAGATTTAAGCGTGTAAAATTGTTTCCCGGAAATATTTTGCCATCTTGCTAGCGTTATTCGTATCGAACGTTGCGAGCATCATTGTTCTTAAGGAACTCGATATGCCTCGGATTTAGCGATCTCTCGATCGTCCCCCGTCCTTGTCCGTGCCGTGCGGGACACGCGTGAAACGCGTGTTTCCAATTAAGGAATAAAAGAGATATTTCAGGCTGAGGATTAACTTTTATCGAACGTTCGCAACGAGACGCCGGGAGAAATAGCGGAATATTAAGTTTCGCGCGGTTTATCGCCAATCTCGCGGTAAAGGCGAGAATCGCGCCGTAAATTCGCGCATTTATTCTACGCGGTTTCGAGTTCCCACGTTAATAAGCGGGAAACCGCCTCGGCGAAGAATCGACGCGCGCATCGCTCATTCGCGAATCAAACCGCGAGGCGTCGTCAGCCTCGAAATTCGTCGAGGCATTTCTTTCGTTCACCCGAGTCGCGTAATAACGCGAGTGTTATCGGAAGGTATTCGCATCTCTCTGCATGTAAAAGATGCGAAACGCATGAGAAAGAGAGAGAGTATGCGACAATACGTGTTGCCATCGAAACAATTCGCAGCGCGGTATAACGTAAACTCTAATCCAGCTGGCAATCAATTATCTGCGTTGAAATTTCGGTAAGCTCGATATTATTAAATGGTAAAAAGTACCATTTGTTAAAGGGATGCTGGAGTGATTCTGTATCTTTTGCAATATAGTACTGTCAATTCATGAAAACACTTGTGTAATTTATGTGGCTTTGTGTACAGACCATAGACATAGTAAATATAGACTAAGCGTCCCATTGAATAAGCTGAGGCTTGTGAAGAAAGAGAAAGAGAGAGAGGGGGGGGATTTGAGAAGACTTTCTTTCTCTGTCTTGCACCATTGTCAAAGAAAAGAATCGTGCCTGTGCAGTACTACACAGGCGTGATTCTCCCTTGTCACGATGGTAAAACAGAAAAAGAAAATCTTAAATCTTCTCTGTCTCTCTCTTCGTAAGCTTCAGCTTATTCAATGGAACGCTCTATCTATGTTTACTATGTCTATGGTAAAGACCGACTAGTTTCCACTAATCGGATTAAATCAGAGAACAGCATGGCGTCGTTGGAATGAAGTTTAGAAGTCTAACCGGAAAAATCCGTTCTGTTTATCTATGAAAAATATTTTTTGAGACGCGAAAGAATCCGCCCCCAAAGGATATTTTGCATGGTTGCGTAATATATTATTTTCGGCTCGATCTGATCTAAAACTGTTGGTCCGCCGAGACCGCGTTCGGTTAACAATATTTCCCGTTGTAATACCCGCCGTTCTGCGCGGCCGTTACTCCGCCTCTTTCCCATGAACTTCAACTTTTCATTATCGCGCGGCGACTTCGCGCCTGCGACGTCTCTTTATCGGGAAAGGAGACGGCGTTTTATCGCCGCGCGGCCTCGCGCGGTCTGAAATTTTCTCCTCAATATCGGCTTATCGGCGCGGCGACTTTGCGCGTAAATGCTCGAAATTATAGCCGATCGACCGCGATTCCGCGGCGGAATTTTCGTCCCCTTAATCCTCACCGTGTTAAACGGCTCGCCCGCCTTCTTCCCCGCGATTTACGTGTTACTGAAAAATTTACCAGGGTTTTTTTTACTTTCCCCCCCTCGGCTCGCCCCGGCTGCGCAATTTGGAATAAATTCTTTCCCGCGCTGCCAATGGCACGTTCGTTCCCGTGGATGGAACACGTTCCGGCGGGAGAGAATGGCTCGTCATCGATCGACGGCCAGCGACGACGGTGACAACGGCGTGGATGGAATATTACCGTTCCACGGGCAACATCGACGCCCACGATTAACGAGCCGCGCCACGATGATAACCCACGGGGCCCACGCTCCCACCCTGATGGGGTATGTCCCGGCGCGTTCGTTTTACGAGGCCATTTTCGGCGCGCGCGGCCACTCGAGGACTCGTCAACGATCACGCGAGCGAGAACGTGAGAGGAGGCCGAGGGAATTGATATGAGGGCGTGAAAAACGACACTGTGCGAGCATCGCCAACGTCGTACGTTAGGCCGGGCCGCTTGTTCAGCCGTCGAATTTACGGAGGCGCGACGGTCCAGACGGACTGTTTATTTCAACAGTGTTTTAATTTAAGACTCGATCTTCAAGCGTCCCGAAGGGAATCGTAGAAAGAGAGAGAGAGAGAGAGGGGGGAAACTTTCCCCAAGGAGAGCGTCCCCCCTTTCGTCTTTTCTCCAGCCAGGAATTTCCTTTAAAGTCCGAATATAATCGTCTGCGGTGTTATACTCGCGGATTATATACCCTCGGGGGGCGTAATCGAACGCGCGGGGAACGGGGGTCACGTCACGTAATAGCGGTAGCATGTCCGACGGTTCCGACATTTCGCGTCCGGCGGCCATTGTGCGCTAAACTCCGAAATAAAGGGGAGATACGCCGCGACCCAGGAATTACGCATCCGCTGAAAGGCAGGCGCAAATTACAGAACGGCGTAATGGCCGGGGTGCATGGAGCGCCTTATCGCCGACAATTTCTGCGCGCGCCGGGGGGAGGGGGGAGGAAAATCTTGCGAAATTATTCTACGAAGATTATATGGAGATCGGCGGCCGATCTCTCACACGCTTCGTTGGCGACGCGCGTGAACGTTCAACCGCTCGGACCTGCCGAATTGACTTGCTGGGATTGCACCGAGCGCGTGATGGACCTTTAAAAAGATCGCCCGAGATATTCAGATCGCATGAATCTCTGGTTAGAAATATATCTAGTTGAAATAGCCGCGAGATGTTAATAGCTGTCTGCATGTAAACGTGAGTAATCGCAAATGGGAATAACAGCCGGTCGTCTCGATATTAAACAAAAAATTGTAGAAATAAATAAAAATGCCGATACTTGTTCGCGGCTAACTTTGACTTTGGGGCTTTGAAGGGACGCGTCCTCGAAAGAGACGTTCTAAAAACGAGTTACCGCTGGAATCGAACTCGGTGACACCCGAGTTGATTGCCACCGGCAGATTTAGATAATCCTCTCACCTGGCCGTGCTTGTCCATGTCGTTGTTCGTCAGCTTCACTTTCTCGAAGGAAACAACCTGTTTCCGCAGTTGCTCGCCGGTGAAGGGTGAATCGGGATGCGAGTAGAGTCGCGCGGGCGCCGGCGGGTCGGCTTTGCCGGCTTCCAGCCAACAGCTACGATGATAGGCGTATCGGTACCTCTTGTTGTCGACCGGCACGATGTCCATCAATACTGCGTAACGGCCTTCTGGCTTCAGTCCAGTGAAGGACACTCGGCACGTCGGAAACATCCGTCTGTGAAAGAACGCACATGCGGAAACAATGTAGTGGCGAATAATAATCACGATAAACTAATTTATTCTGAATAATTGGAAGCCTATTTGAATAAATAAATTATATCTCGCGAGATATAGAAATAGGGATTTTCTTTAATTAGTTTTAATTACAGTTTATACGCGTAAAACGCGGTGTTGAAGCGGAATGAGAAAAACACTCGGTATAAACCTAGGTAATTACAACTATATAATTATAGCGTAGCCGAGACATGTCAGCGTAAATTGTAAATTGCTTGAAAGCGACAAACAAAAACGAGTCTCCCATCGATCTCTATCGCCGCGGATTGATATCGTAACCTAGTAATCGCAAAATGACGTAGCAAAATCAAGGTAAAACCTTTGCACTTCGTGACCGCTTTCACGATCGTTGCAGTCTCGCAACGGTACAAGTTATTAATTATAGAACACCGCCTGCAACAAGTTTTCCTCAGCAGCGTAAACGTTTCGCCGCGGTATAACTTTCTGCTTGAAACACGGTTAAGACGCTTTCCCAAGTTTTCACGATCTCGCTCCCTCTTTTTAAGCAACGGCGGCCCTGCGAGATTCACTCGTCGCGAAAATAAGAAAACCGTCGAGTCTCTTTGCCCCCGCCAAGCTTATTATATATTTCTTCCCAATGTTATTTCTCGTGGCAATGTGTTTCACTTGGTCGTGTCGAATTTACTAGACAGTACAAGGAAAACAGCCATCTCCCCCCACCTCGGACTTGGTCACAAAAGCAGAGTTTCAATTTCGGACCGAACGCGTCTGCAGTTGACCTTTCAACACTTCGAGAAACGTCCGGCTGCACGCGCCTTCGTTGAACGATGTGCAGGCCCAGAAATTTCCCGCTGGCAGGGAAAACTGCAGCCTGACCTTCATCCCCGGGCCCCCGACCGAGAGGTTTTGCCCGCCCAACAATGTACGTCCTCGCTACGACCACACGCAATGAACTCGTGCCTGTGATTTACGCGCTTTGTGGAAGGACACGGGTATTTATGGGCATTTTCCGCGAACAGATACGTCGGATACATCAATAGCGATTTTTTTTCACAGCGCAAAGCCGGACTTCGGTCAGTTTATCGCTCGAAGTGCTTAGGCTGGGCGTACGCACTGGGGAGATACGTTTACCCTGAAACGCAATCGCGCCATTTCGCATCGTAATATTTATTACATAATTGCGAACTGCGCGAGACGCGATACGGCCGAATACCCGGCGCATACAAGACCCCTCGTTATTTTATTTGAGAAAATACTGTGTTACACGTAACTCTTGATAACTCCACAATGCGCGCGCGCGCGCGCTATAATTCTGTTCTAATTATTCCTGTGCCAGACGCAAGCTTAGTCGAACCGACAGAGAAGATTGAGGATGATGGATCCGCCTCGACATGCCTGTCGAGGTCGGCCAATGGTGTGTCCAGGACCGTGCAATCCACTAAAAGCTCATCATCACCATCATCACCGTCATCATCATCATCATCGTCGCCGTCAGAAACCCGATATGACTGGGATTGCCGCGCCGGAGAAAGACATACCCTTGCCGGACGAGTTTTCTCAAATAACGCTGCTAAGTTCTTTGAAGGCGGACACCTCTGTTGCATCCATGACTTCGACGGACAGTACATCGATCTCCAGATCGTCCTCGTCCTTGACTAAGATCGCTCTCGTCAGAATCTCAAAGACCCCCCGATACAAAGAGGCCGACGTTCCCGCGATCATACGGCAAATCCTGTCGCCGGACAGATTGGAGCTGCTCGGAGAACCGCCGAGGCCGAGAGCCGAGAAGACGAGCGCGTCAGCGCCCTTGATAAAAATCGCGTCGCCGGCTCCGACGGAAACGACCGCGAGGACACCGGCGTATCGAGCACCGGGGAAACTGAACGACGTAACATGTGCGATTACGACAACACTGAACGGACTGATGCCGAAGAGAGCGTCGCCTCTTTTTCTGTGCCTGACAATCCTGCTGATCTACGCGGGAATTCATGTATTATTGGCTGTAATCGCGCGGCGATTACAGCGAACACCTGCGTACCAGGTTTTCGTGTCCAGTCAGATCAGCGGGGTCCTCGCGTTCCTTATGTGGCGATTGACCGGTACGATATTAATCTGAGCCGCGCGCGAATAGATAATACATCGAGATAACGCGCTGCCAGACAAACGTGGAAATTGATCGACGTGTCTTTATACCAATTTATCATACTTACATATACATACGTAAGAAAAGTCACGCAGGCTCTTCCGTTAAAGCGAAGATTAATTAATTGATGCTCGTTGCTAAATTTAAATGGGTTCTACGGTCTAGAAAACGCGAGACATGAATATTGGAGATTTCAAGGAGCAAGATTATATCCAAAAGTCTGTGAGGATCGATTTGCCAATACGTCTTAATTACTTTGTGATTAACGATGCTATTGAAATAACCGCCATTTTCCGTTCGTTCTCTGAGATCTGTATTTGGAAAGACACCCGACGGTATTGGAACGTGTAAAAATATATTCGCAGGAATCTACGCGTATAATATTTTCAAGCCTTAATTCATCTCTATCATTCAATATATAAAATACGTTCGTGTATTTTATATATTTATTATATAAAATTATATATGAAATGTACGTTTCCATTAAAACGTCGTCAATCGGCAATATCGACAATTTTCATTCAGGCCCGGCTCTTCATTTTCTGATTAACTGCTAACCGCAGAGGTCACGTTCTCTGTCTCTTCTTAGATAATGATAGAGAGTCGACTAACTTCTGGTTAAGGGGATGCTGGAGTGACGGCTGAACTCCGACGGGATAATTGAAAATTTCAAGGACATAATACGATACGAATTAGACTTCAAACCTTAATGTTTTTTATATGAAAATGTTCTACTGTGCAGTCCACACACCGCTCTGGTATTATTTCGTGTATAAAAGTCAATAAAATAAGATTTACAAACGCAAAAACTGTATGCGACTCTGTCGGTAAATTAAACCACGGCATCTTGATCAGAAAATGAAAAACCGGGCTTTAAACAATCGACATAACTTTCATGTGAAAGTGTTGAAAAAACACAGGCTTTTGTTCGCCCCGAATTCTTATCCCGCACGGTCGCTCCTATCGGCTCCTGTCGGACAAGACCGCAGCGACAGTTGTAGTGGTTTTCTAGATCTATTTATTCGACGACAGGCGTCCTTTTCCTTTTCGTACATCGAGGGGCCGCAGGACTAGTTCACGACAAAAACTTGGACAAAACGAAATTAGGATTCTTAAGACTGCGCAGATAAGAGGGCCCGCTTGCGTCACGCGAGTGTCCTGCCGCCGTATATTCGTAGGGCCCGAATACCCCGAAGGCCGGTCCCCCGCGACGCGGACCTCGCCACCTTGGAGAGCGGTTTTGCGGTTTCAAGCTCGAAAACGATCCTCCCTTCTGCGCGGCACGTACGCGCTCCGTTAGGTTCGTGCGGTTTTTAACAAGCATATTGTCCAACAGCGTTGAATAGTATCGTCGTTACGTCGCCTGTGGATCCGACACCCTTAACGACACGATTGTCGGCCCTTAGGCGACGCATTAGCCGAGCGGTGCATTCGAAATGCGCACACATCTCTGACGCGCGAGAAGCTCTTTATTCGCGGAGTTCGGCGACGGAGACGACTCGCGCCTCGCGTTTGTAATTCGATTCCGAACCCCGAGATCTAGATTCGTCTCTCGATACCACGACGACGATGACGTGACACTTGATACGTAAAACTCAAAATTGTCGCGATTGACTGACGACGTCTACAATGCGTGGAGCAAGCCTGGCGTAAGGAGTAAGAGAGAACCATAATCTTTAGCTTTTGGTGTGAGGGAGCTAAAATACAGGCATGATTTTTAAAATATTTGTAACACTGGCCGACGGCGTTTTGAGCCGCTGTAAGTAAGCGTAAGAGCTGAAGTAGGTGCAAGAAGTAAAATTGATTTATTTCCTTACTCCTACTCCTTACGCCAAGCTTATTCCGCGCGATGTAGATGACACATAACTGCACTGATAAAAATTTGAACCTCATTTTACTGTGAAAATCGGTGGTCATTTTTAACCTTCGATTTACGATGCTAAAATACAAAGTGATTTGTAATTTTACTTTAAAACGTTAAAATTACCATTCAAATGAAATTATGTTTCCGTTAAATCATGTAATTTTAACATCGGACAGTAAACTGAAAAAATATTTAACGGAAACATAATTTTATTTGAATGGTAATTTTAACGTTTTGAAGTAAAATTACAAATCACTACGTATTTTAACAGCGTAATTCGAAGGTTAAAAATGACCACCGATTTTCACAGTAAAGTGAGGTTCAAATTTTT